CAAGAAACTTAAATCTCTCAGCTTGTTACCGGGGAAGAAGAAAAAAAGGAAAGAAGGAAGGAAATTTAAAGACTGTGGGTAGTAAATGGCATTTAAACTAGGACCCTCTCAAATATAAAATAATTTTTATTTATTTATTTTTTTTGAGACAGGGTCTTGTATCACCCAGGCTGGAGTGCAGTGGCACCATCTCAGCTCACTACAACCTCCACCTACCGGGTTCAAGCGATTCTCCTGCCTCAGCCTCCCGAGTAGCTGGGACTACAGGCACATGCCACCATACCTGGCTAATTTTTGTATTTTTAGTAGAGACTGGGATTACAGGCGTGAGCACTTTGGGAGGCCGAGGTGGGCAGATCCCTTAAGGCTAGGAGTTCAAGACCAACCTGGCCAACATAGTGAGGCCCTATCTCTACTAAAAATACAAACATTAGCCGGTCATGGTGGTGTTCACCTGTAATCCCAGCTACTTGGAGGCTGAGGCGTGAGAATCACTTGAGCCCGGGAGGCAGAGGCTTCAATGACCCAAGATCCAGCCTGAGCAACAGAGCAAGACTCTGTCTCAATAAATAAGTAAGTAAATAAGTAAATAAATAAGTACTTATGCTCCTCTTTTAATGGAAATTGAAACAAGGAAAGCCTGTTCTTAGGGGAGCTGTGTTAGGCCATGTGCAGAGATTGTAAACATTCCTCTTCCTGGCAGGATGTAGGGAAATTCCTTTGCCTTAAACTTTCTGTGTTCAATTGACTTTGGATTCTTAGGGGTGTTTATCAGAATTTGTTTTAGGAAACCAGACAAGAACTTAAAAAAAAAATCTTGTATCTGACTAAGTCAGACAGAATTCTCTGCCAAGATACTTTGCTATTTTCCATTTTTAATCCAGTCTGTTTGGAGATCCCAGGAGTTGATTTGGTGGATACACTTTCTGGGGCAAGAAGAGTCCGAGTATTTTCTCAGAACCCTGCCTACTAGTGACTACTCCAGAATGTCAGTAAACTTGTGTCTTGTTTATCACATGCCATTTTTTACATATCTTGTTTATTACATACCATTTTTATGTATCAGATTGGCAAATATGAAAAGCTGGATAGCCAATCCACTGAAGATGAGGTAGAAAGAACTTGAGTACTTGATGACCAAATTTTGCTGGGAAATGAACCAACGCTGGAACTGCCTGACCTCCATAATTCCTCTTATGTGAAAGGATACTTTTCATTATTGCTCAAGCCATTTTGAGTTCAGCGTTCAGTGGCTTGCATCAGGAAGCTTCAGGGCTAACTTGTACCTGGGGTACAGTACCTGGGGTTAGTACCAGGGCTACACGTACCTGGGGCAGCAGGTCCAGCCCAGGCAAGGGCTGCAGGGATGAAATGCCCAAAACACTGGCAGCTTGCCTGGAGCTTCTAGGAAAAGCATGATTATCCTCCTTCCAGCTTCCAGAGGACCAGGGTCCAGAGGCAATTGGATGGGTTTTGGCACTTTGGAACTGAAGAAAAGTGCCTGTTTTACACCAAGGGCTCAGCTTTTGATGTCATTCATTTAGTTACTCATTATAAGTCTGTAGACAGTGGGCAAGATATGGAAACAAACAAAGGTGTCTAATAAAACAGAGCACACCTTCTGGGTCCCCTCCCTCCTACTCTCACCAATCCTCTTTTCAGGGCCAAACCCACCCTTCTTCCCAGGGCCTGGTCCCTCTGTCTGTCTCTTTCACAGGAAGTAGAATTATATACCATCTGAGAGCCTGTACAGGGGCTGGATCAGGCCCAATGTGGATCTTGAGAACTGAATATCTTCACCCAGTTTCCCCCAATAGTCACATCTCACATTATCAGGGTATCATGTCAAAATCAGCATTTGGTATGTGTATCACATATGTAGATGTGTGTAACCACCACTACAATCAAGATACAGAATTATTGAAACATATAAAACACTAATAAAAGAAATTAAAGAGGGCACAGATAAATGGAAAGATATCCCACGTTCATGGATTTGAAGAATTACTATTATTAAAATGTCCTTATTGGCCGGGCGCGGTGGCTCAAGCCTGTAATCCCAGCACTTTGGGAGGCCGAGACGGGCGGATCATGAGGTCAGGAGATCGAGACCATCCTGGCTAACACAATGAAACCCCGTCTCTACTAAAAATACAAAAAAATAAGCCGGGCGAGGTGGCGGGCGCCTGTAGTCCCAGCTACTCGGGAGGCTGAGGCAGGAGAATGGCGTAAACCCGGGAGGCGGAGCTTGCAGTGAGCCGAGATAGCGCCACTGCACTCCAGCCTGGGTGACAGAGCGAGACTCCGTCTCAAAAAAAAAAAAAAAAAAAGTCCTTATTACCAAAAACAATCTGCAGACTTAATATAACAATATCGTACCAGTTTGCAAGCACTTTTACCTCCTGATAAACTCACCTATGTGTGTTCTTTAGATTCAAACATACTGCTGCTCTAGAGAGTGTGAGTATGACCGAGAAAACAGTAATTTCAAAAAGATTAAAATAAGACACCCCACTAGAATATATACAGAATTCTTATAATCAACAATAAAACAACAAATACCCAGTTAGAACTAGACAAAGGACTTGAATAGACATTTCTACAAAAAACATATACAAATTTCCAATAAGCACATCAGAAGATGCTAAACATCATTGTCATCAGGAAAATGCAAATCAAAACCACAGTGAGATACCACTCCACACTCACTAGGATGGTTGCAGTCAGAGCAACAGATAACAAATGTTGGTCAGACACAATGATGGGAGCAATAGACACCGGGGACTCCAAAAGGAGGGTGGCGGGGCAAGGGCTGAGAAACTTTCTATTGGGTACTATGTTCACTATCTGGTGATGGGATCAATAGAAACCCAAACCCCAGCATCACACAATGTACCCTTGTAACAAACCTGTGAATGTACCCCCAATCTAAAATTAAAATGTTTTAAGTGAAATAAAAGGATTAACTGGGAAAGAAATAAAACAAGGGTTGGTGAGGGTGAGAGGAATTGAGACCTTCCTGCCCTGCTGGTGGGAATATCAAATGGTGCAGTCACTTTGGAAAATAGTCTGGCAGTTTCTCCAAAGGTGAAACACAGAGTTACGACATGACCAGCAATTCCACTCCTATGTATACACCCAAGAGAAACGGAACATATGTCCACAGAAATGTTCAGAAGAGCATTATTCAAAATAGCCAAAAAGTGGAAACAGCCTAAATGTCTATCAACTAATGAATATAAAAAAAGTGTTATATGCATACAATGGAATATTATTTGGTGATGAAAAGAAAGAAGTACTGATTCATGTTACAACATGGATGAACCTTGAAAACATTATGCTTAAGTAAAAGAAGCCTGTCAAAAAACACCTTATATTATATGATTTGCTTTGTATGAAATGTCCAGAACAGGCAAATCATAAAGTAGATTAGTGGTTGTCTAGGACTAAAAAGAAGAGGGCGGGCATGGGAGAGTGACTGCCTAAGGGGTACGGCATTTCTTTTCTGGGTGATGAAAATGTTCTAAAATTCCTTATGATGATGGTCACACAGCTCTGTGAATGGAGCAAAAAGCACTAGATTGTGTCCACTTTAAATGGGTGAGTTGTATGGTATGAGAACTACTATCAGTAAAACTGTTTTATAGAATAAATAAACAAACTCCCAAACAGAGCCAGCAGCCAGACTTCTTCCTGTTTCCATGCCAGGGATCTCGCTCCTATTTGCCTTTAATCCATGTATCTTTCTGTTGACAAGAATCCACCCAGCCAGCAAACTCGTGTTTGCTCTGTGGTGACATCACCAGGATGCACCAGGCCCTGGGCCTGACATTACTCTGCAGTCCTTGCCAACTAGGTCAGAAGCCATGTGACACTGGAAAACCCATGAACCTGTCTAACCATCAGGTTCCTCCTCTGTGCATTAACAATGACATTGACGCCTGCTTTGCAGGGCACTGGGAGGGTAGAGGGAGGTGTACACTGGAGAGCTCCCCCAAGGGCAAGGCCTGGCTCTGTGTCACTCACTGTCAGATCCTCAGAGCCCAGGGCTGGCCCAGAATGTGGCCACCATTCCATCAGAGTTGGATTTGATCCGTCAGTGCTGAAGGCAGAGGATAGAGCTCAGACAGACCCCCTGTGTCCTGTCTTCTTTATCTGCCGCTTACTCATCCTTGTCCCTTTCACATGCACCCTGTGGAGCAGGTGTTCACTGAGCTTCCACAAAATTCACTAGAGCAGCTGATGGATATTGAGGCCTGGATTCACTGTCAAAGTGTTTCTCAGAGGGTGATCTCCAGAACACCATGGAAAACTCATTTGCTGTATAAGTTTGAAAACCCCTGCCCACAGGTCTCCCCTTGTGTATGAGCAATCAGCTCTACCATTCAGCCCAGGTGTGTGTTTGCTGGACCATCTGGAGGAAGCTGAGGAGACGTGAGCTGAAGGCAGAGGGTGAGTCCGAGGTGGGATCTTGGAACAGGCACAAGAAGTTAGGCAAAAATGGGATAATTCTAGCCTTAATAACCTTAGATAATAGTTCACATTATTATTTAGTTAATAGGATTGTACCCACGTTAAATTGCTAATTTTTTTTTTTTTTTTTTTAACAGATAAAAGTCTCACTCTGTCACGCAGGCTGGAGTGCAGTGGTGCAGTCCTGGCTCACTGCTTCCTGGAACTCAGGGGCTCCAGCAATCCTGCCTCAGCCTCCTGACTAGGTGGAACTATAGGCACACGCCACCATGCCTGGCTAATTTCTTTGACTTTTCTCTAGAGACAGGGTCCACCTGTGTTTCCCAGGCTGGTCCCAGACTTCTAGACTCAAGTGAACCTGAACCTCCCGCCTCAACCTCTCGAATTGCTGGGATTACAGGTGTGAACTACCATACCTGGCCTAAATTTCTTATGTGCCATGGGACTGCAAAACATCATTATTAGGGGCAGCTGGATGGAAGGTGTAGGAGGTCACTGTAGTGTCTTTTCAATCTTTATATCTAAAATCATTTCAACAGGAAACATTTATTTTAAAACATGAATGTTGTTATCCTTCCATGAGTGTGAAGTACAAAGGCAGGCTCACGGTGTCGTCAGAATTCAGAACGCTGGTCACACGGCTGGGGGTGCTGGGAGGGGCTGGGCATGGTTGGCTTTGTGATCTGGGGGCTGGTGTGTTCCATCTGTGAAGGTCTTTCGAGCTGCACACTTTCTTAATAAATTTTCATAAGTTTAACAAAAAATAAAACGAGGATGTGAAGCTTTCTTGGGTTGTTAAGCCTCGGGAAGTTATCCAGCCATGAGCCCTGCCCCAGATGCTTCTAGAAGCCTGGAGGGAACTGAGAACTTTCCAAGTAGAGGAGCAGAGGCAAGGCCCTGAGGTGGGAGTGCGCTGCTTCTCGTCACTAGCTGCGAAGGAGGTGTCCTGGTTGGAATCAGTGCTGGGTGCAGTGCAGGGCTGGCTGGAAGTCCATGTCCACACTGTGGCTCAGTGCGGTGAAAGCCAATCTCACCCCCTCCGCAGGGTGTTCCGCCTGCCAGCAGGTGGCCAGCTGGTCCTCCTGGGATATGATACCATTGTAGAAATTGGGTGCAAGACTCTTGTCTGTAGATAGGGTGACCTGTTGCAGTGGGATGTCTCCCGACCTCTTTCAGTCCTGATGGGCCTGGGCAGGGCCTGGTGTCAGGGTCCTCACTGGCTTCCCGAGCTGGCCCTGTCCCACAGTCCCGGGGCTGTCCAGGACACATTCAGAAGGGACACAAACCCAGCAGCTCTGTTCGAAATCATAATGGGGGAACCAAGGGCCCCCTACATCCAGGTCCATTGGGAGCTGGGGCATCGAGTTCCACTGCAGGAATCTCCAGGAGTCCTGAAGGTCTTCCCTGAGCTGGGGCCGGGCTGGGCACATCCTGAGTGCCCACAGGGTAGGTGTCTTCCCGGACAGCCCCACCGGGACAGGGTGTAGAAGAACGAGGTGCCCATGGCAGGGAAGCTGACCAAATGGGCCACTGGAACCGGGCTGGTGGGCCTGGAGGGGTCTGCCTGTCCCCCTTGCAGAGGGTCTTCCTGCATAGCCTGCATAGGCCTGGCTGCTGAGGACCCTTGCTCGGGTTTGGCTGAAAGGAAAACACACGTGGTCAGCGTCTCCACTGAGCCCATGCAGGCCTTTCCGGGCCGGGTCCTACCTGCCTGGGTCTCTGGAGTCCTCAGGGTCTCTGTGTGGCCCCATGGTCTGACACTGAGGACACGCCTGTAGTCTGCTGATCCAAGAGGGAGGGGTGTGTGCCACCTGGCATGGGAAGCTGTCAGGGCATGGCAGGTGGCTCCTGGGACTGTCCCCAGGGTTCGAACTAGCTGGGGGCTTCCTATGACACACCCTCATCCCAGGTCTGTTGGGCCAGGAATACAGCCCCCAGTGAGAACTCAGGTGGGAGGGGACTTGGATGTCACCCAGCCCCTTGTCACCTCACATGAGGACCCGTCTCCACAGTGGTTGATTGGGCCCGGACGTGGGTCACCCTCTGCCCTCCTGGGCTGCCCAGTCCATGCCAGGACTGACCATTCCCACATATGTCTGAATTCTTCACCCTGGCTCTCTCCTGGGGTCCTGCCTGTGCCCTCTCCCTGAATGCTCTGGGGTCAGGGACACCCAATTCCCTTGTCTCCCTGGCTCAAGGCTGGTTGTCCTGGCAACCTTGGAGGAGCGTGCAGGAGTGAGGGGCCTCTGCTGCTCTCTGAGGCTGTGGGTGCTTGCAGGGAGGGGCGGGGTTTCCCACAAATCGGTCTGGCTCCTTTAGTGTCCTTGAGGGCCCTGTGATGGGGAGACAGAGACACTGTGGAATGTGGGAGGGGGCTTGTTGGAGGGTCATGCCCACATCCTACTCCTGCGTGCACAACACATCCAGTACACACACACTGAGCGCCTGCCGTGAGGACCGGTGGCCTCCTGTACTTTCTTAGAGTCCAGGAGGAAGAGGAGGAAGAAAAGGTGAAGAGGAAGGCCCAGGTAGGAGGGTTGTGGGTCTCGGGCACTCCCCCACTATTGACTGCCCCAGAGGGTGACATGGGAGGGGACATGGCACTGGAGCCCACCTGGGGGTGGCAGGTCCCCTTGCTTCCTTGTTAGTTTCTTCGTAGAGGCCCTAAGATGCTTGAGCACAGTGTCATCATCCAACTGCCAGGTGTGGAAGAACTGGTTCCGAAACCGTGCCCACGGGCCACACCTGGATGTCTTCATGAGGTGCTCTAGGGACAGGGTGGACATCAGGCCTGGAGAGTTCCCTGGGAGGGGGCACAGCTGATACCCTGTGGCCACTTCTATCTCCCACTGGGTGGTGCAGGATCCTTTTGTGGCCACCCCAGGGGCCCTGATGTGCACAGAAGGCTGTGGCTGGGGGGCGACCTGGGCAGGGAAGTACTCACGACACTCCTAACTTTCATCTAAGCCCTGTGGGGGACAAACTCGGCGTCACTGTACCTTGCCCAGCCCACCTGGCCAGACCTCCCTCTGGGCCAGAACAGAGGATCATGAGGACAGTGTGAGGAAGCTGCCCTCGGGTAAGTCAGCGTCTGACCCCAGGGCTCCCCAGGCCCCACTGGGCACATGTAGACTTACTCCTCTGAACTTTAAAGGCAATGCTTGTTATCGGCATCAACACCTGTTCTCCTTCCAGCAAATACACGTCCCACAGGCGCAGGATGAGCCCAAGAGAGATCTGTGGGGATAGCAGGTGTGGGAGACTGTAGCCCTTCCAGGCTGGGGCTGGTGGCTCGAACTGAGCCCACTGGGGCCTCTGTCCCCAGAGTCAGTGATCTTCTCCATGAGGGTTTCCTGAGTCCTCCAGGGCGCTGGGTCAGGCAAGGTCCTGCAGCTCCTCATGGGGACACTCACTGGAGTGGGGGTGTGGCTCCTGGAGAGAGGGGCTTGCCCAGGGCTTGAGGCTTCCCTGAGCCCTCCCAAGTCGAGTCCTGGCCCAGTCTGCCTATAAGGCGGGGCCTGAGCCCCAGTCATTGCCCTGGGATGACCCCTCTTGGGCAGAGGGTTTTGTTTGGGTGTCTTGTGGGGACCCCCATGTGGGCGGAGCCTCCTGTGGGCTGTGGCTGAGCCAGACCCCCAGGCTGGGGAAGCAGGGCACTGCAGGGCAAGGAGGGTCCCTGAGCCAGGGTCTCCCTGTGCCTTCTTACTCCATCATTCAACATCTGGAGAAGCCAGCCTAACGAGGAACCCTGCGCGCATAGACCTTCCTTGTCCTGATGGGAGGAACAGAGGTGCTCAGGGCCCCCTGGGCTGCCCTAAAAACCTCCCTCTTCCAGGGCCTCTGAAGACCCTTCCCCTAGTGCAGAACACTGGGCGGTGTCCAGGGCTCCCCACAACACCGGCCCCTTCCCACACTCCCGGTGGACACACTGCCCTTTGCCCTGCTCTGCGGGAGCTGGGCCCCCATCCCTGTGCCTCTGTCTCCTCCAGGGCAGGAAAGGAAACCAACTCCCAGCCCATGGAGAGCCCGATGTCCCAGGTCAGGAGCTGGCTAGACTCAGCCAGTCACCAATCCCACGAGGGGCTCCAGCCTCCGTTCCTCCATCCCCACAGGAGGCAAGGCCTCTGGGGAAGAACCGAGGGGACCATAAACTCACCAGATGCCACATGGTCTTGTGTTGTGACGTGGGTACCACATGCTCCTGATGGTCTTGGAGGCCCTGGACTGTCCCGCCATTTGGGCTGTGGAATCCTGAGAAGCCCCCAAGCCCATCAAGAAATCAGAGCCTTCCCCCAAGGTGTGGAGCCATCAGCTGGAAGAGCTGGGCAGCTGGAGAGGCCCCCAAACCCCAAGGCCTCCCACCCTCCCATCTGGTGACCCCACCAGGTGACCTTTGCCCTGGGGAGGTGGGGCAGGTACATTCCCTGGAGCCTGGCTGGAGGTTCCCCTGGAGGCCTCCTGGACCAGAGTGCAAAAAGGGCAAGCCTGACTTTGAGGCCACCACATGGCGGCCAGGACAGAGTGGGTGCTGGGCTTCCTGGTCGTCTCTTGGAAGTGGGGTCGGGCCAGGGGACACGGGTTGGGGAGATGCTGCCACCTGGGCTTAGTCAGCCCATTCGTGGGCACCAAGGGCAGCAGGAGCCCGGGCAGCTGGAGGGGAGGAGGACTCTCAGGGAGGGGAGAGTCAGTTGCACACAATCAGAGCCGGAGGGCGTGGCTGCAGGACACAGAGGGTGGCCACGGGGAGGATGAGATGCCCTCCGCTGATGGGGATGAAAGACATCTAACTTTGGCTTTGGGGGTCAGCCGCAGACTCCTGTGGGACCCTCAGCAAAGACATCCTAAAGACTCCCAAGGAGCTGGCGACACAAGGAAGGTGCCTTGGCTGAAATCCGAGATTACCTGGCCAGGGTGGCCATCCTAGGGTCTGGCTGTATGAGGTCCCATGGGCAGCTGTCCACCTACCCTGCAGGGAGTGCCTCTCACTGGCCAGCAGCTGCACCAGTGCCCAGAATGCATCCTCCTCAGACAGATAAAGGAGGAACAAGGCTGCAATGTGGCTCAGGTCCCTGCAGTAGCCCACCTCCTGCAAGAGCCAGAGTCACTGTGGAAGGACATCACCTGGGAAGGCTGAGGTCACCTGGGAGGACTCATGTCATTGGAGAGGGCAGAGTTGACTGGGGAGGCTTCCTCTGAAGAAGAGGCTTCCTCAGGGTGCAAATTCATTTCATGACAAGAGCCAAGTCCATCAGGCACTTCAGCACCTTGTCCAAACTGTCTCCTGATAGCACCGTCCTGCGTGCAACGCTGCCAAGCTCCTGGGCTTTGGGGCAGCCCCAGGAGGAGGGCGTCATTTCTTGTTCTGAGAAGTGGTGGTCAGACCCAGGTGACACCAGGAGTCCAGGCCTGACTCCTTTGTGTCTCAGCTTGACTCCTTGAGATCACCCCCTTCCTGGGAGGTTTATGCCAGCAGTGAGCTGGAGTCCTACCTCCTATATCCCGGTGGGTCACAAATACTAACTTTAAAAGAAGCAGCGACACCCCACCAGACACCCACTCCTGTGAACAGGGAAATACTGCCCGGGAACGTCACTGCGGGGAATACTCACCGGGTTATACTCCGAATATGCCAAGAGGATGTAGAATAGTTCCCGATGTCTAGGAAACAGAGAAATGAGGCTTTTGTTTGTTTTGTGCAGATGCCATTAGTTTCACTTTGTCTACAAAGCCTAACAACAAATCCCATTTCAGGTTCAGATGATTCACCAGATAAGCAGTGAGCTCTTCAGGGTCTTTGACTTTGAGGAAATGTTTCAGTAAAATCCACATCTGTGACATGCAGATAGCCCAGTTGTACAGTGACTTGCCTGATCCTTTTCACTCTGAATGATTTTTTTTTTCAGTTTGCACACATGCCAGCTCAGTCTTTGGCCTTACAGTTCCTCCATGGTTCTAAACCAATGTGCAGAGTTTCCTGGCCACTGCTCCAGCCCCTACTGAAGCAATTCCTTCATCTTCCAAGTCTCCAGGGTGGCCCCTATGCACCCGGCCTCTCCCTGATCCGTCAGCCCCCGGCCACCCAGACTGCTTCTCAGTCCCTATGGTTTGGCCTTTTCCAGAATGGCCCAGGAATGGGAATCCTACTGTGGTAGCATATTGAGTCTGGCTTCTTTCCCTCAGCAAAATGCATCTAGGATCCACCCATGTTCGTGCGGGCATCACTGGCTTGTTCCCTTTTCTCACTGTGTCTTCCGTTTGAAGGGAGGACCAGACTTGCTCTCCCCATTCCCATGTTGAAGGCTGTCCCTGAAGGCTCCTTGTGTGAGTGACGATGAATCAAGCAGTGAACATGGCATGCAGGTCTCATGTGGATGTCAGTTTTCAAATCAGTGGGTTCAATATCTATGACACTTTGGGGACGTGCAGTTCAAGTCCATTGAGCTTTGTGAGCCACAGCCCAACTGGCTGCCAAAGTGGCTGTGCATGTCACGTTCCCAGCAGACCAGGATGACAGTTTCCAGGACCCCTAGTCCACCCAGCATTTGGTGCTGTCAGTGTTTCCTGGGGAGGCTCATGGGCCCTCCATCCTGCCACCCTCCCGTGGGTCCTACCGTGGGTCCCTGTGGGTCCCCGTGGGTCAGGGAGAGCACCTTTCACCATTGTGCATGATTTTGTTTGCTGCCTTTTGTCTCCTCAGGATCCTCCTGGGCTCTGGCCCCACATGTTCCAGTCTGGCCCAGGGCTTGGAATCAGGTGCTCGGTCCATGGTGCCAGCTGCTCCCTGGGCCAGGAGAGGTCTTGGCAGCTCTGTCATCCCTCCTGGGTGACCCTGGCCTCTTCTCCGGGGAAGCCCCCATCCCTTTCGTTCACTCCATGTCTGCTGGGACCCTGTGGCTCCCATAGGCTTACTTGGCTCCGTATCGATATCGGAAGAAGATGTGATTCCTTAGTGTCCCGCTCACGTCCACGTCAATCTGGTGGATGTGTTCAGATGACCTCTTGCCCTTCTCCTTCATGACCTGTAGGGCAGGGCCAAGAGGAGGAAGCAGCCTCAGAACAGATGGAAGACTCCCTGCCCCAAATGGCAGTCAGCCCACAGTCAGCACTCCGGGAAGGAAGGAAAGAAGGAAGGTTTCCTTCTGCACAAAGCTGCTTTTTGGCTTGTTACTGAAGCCAGGGAGGGTCACCAGAGCCGAGTTTGTCTGTGGTGACTATGTCACCGTCCGTGCCCACGATGTGCATCTGACCAACCCACCCACCCCCCAGGCTGGGCTTGATGCTCCCTCCAGCTGGAGACCTGGGCCCCTGACACGGCCTGTCCTGTTTGTCGTGCTCTGGCTGAGCGTACCTTGTATGTTCTGGGGTTTTTCCACTTGACTTCCTGTATGTTCAGCAGGACTGACCACACTTGGCCCCAGATGTTCATGGGAATGCCCTTATATACTCGATCTATCAGCTGTGGGCAGAAAACAACCTGGTGTCACAGGCCACGGGGCGACCCCAGTGAGGACCAGAGCCCGAGGATTCTGGAAATGGTTGGTTTTGGCCCCATGATCCCTCGTTAGAGGTGAGATCTAGCTGGGACAGTGTCTCCCTTCCCAGGATTGAAAGAGTGGATGGACACTCAGAGTCGGGACTGTGATCTGAACCTTTTCCTTCCTTCGGGTCACCAGGGTATCCCTAGCCTTGAGCTCTCGGTGGTCCCAGCCCTAGATTCAGATTCCCTCCCAGCAAGGTGACGCTTGCACAAATAGGCAGGCAAACCACTGACCAGGCCTGCAGTCCTCTGGGTGAGGACAGTATGCCACCCGCCCTCTGAGAGGCTGATGGTGCCAGGCCACAGCCATGGGTGCCCGTCCCCTGTCTCTGCAGAGAGTGGTTCCCGGGGCCTCTCCCTCCACACATTACCTTTTTACTGTTCTTATATGTCTCCCATTGTCCCAGCATTTCCATCCACTTGCTCTTTCGTGTTATCTCCCGCCGCATTTGCTGTCAAATGAGGAATGTTGGAGTTAGGGGAGCTGCCAGGCTTCCCAGAGCCACCGGTGGATGCTGGGTCTTGGGCTCTGGAGCCCTGTTGGGACCCAGCTGGAGGGAGCCAGGGAAGGGCAGACCCTGAGGGCTGAGAACCTTTGAGCAAATGAGCGCCAGTGGGCTGGCTTTGGGACCCCGGGACGTGCTATCCTCAGGCCACAGACACACCAGTCTTAGGTCAGGTCCCAGCCTCTAGGTGAGGTCCTGACACAGGCGGGCAGCCACCCCCAAGCCACAACTGTGGTTCTCACTTGGGAATTTTATCAAACTGTCCAAGTTACAGCAACCTGGGGTCAGGTCCAGCAGGGAGTGCTGCCCCTCCCAGTGACAGCAGCAACTGCCCAGGCCAGCTGCCTCCTCTGCCTCACCGACCACCCTCCCAGTCCCCACATCCCTGAGCCAGCCCCCACCACTGTGCATCAGGCTCTTACCTTCGCCTCCCGAGCAGTGGCAGGAGGCAGCTCTGTCTCACTGTAAGACAACCCAGGCAGAACTGAGGACCTGCACAGGGCCTGGAGCCACCCCAGACTGGGAGACGACCCCCAGAAAGGACTGGCTCTGTCCCTGTACAGCTCAGGGTTCAGCCCAGGAGAAGACACAGGGAAGGGAGGACAAGGGCCTTCCTGTGGGGCTGACTCCCAGGAAGGGCAGGACCAGGGAGAAGAGGGAGTGCGGGGCCAGCCTGGGCGGGGTTACTGGGGCTCCTGGTGTGGGGGGCGGTCAAGCTGCACAATGGGGCTGCCCGTCTTGGACTGGAGGTGGTGCTTTCTGCTGGAGCTGAGAAAGGTCAGGCCTGAGATGGGATGGGGGCCGCCCAGGGTGGGCAACCAGGCCCTGACCGTAGTCCCTCAGGGATTGACCACATCACCCCACCAGGGTCAAGGGAGCCTGCCCAGAGACTTGCCCAATGCACTCCTGGTGCACCAGGGGCCCATCCCACTTGACAGCCCCAAGGCCCTTGCAGGTTCTGACCCCCCAGCATCCACCTGCCCCTCCCTGCACCTGACCCACACACCCTGCCTTTCAGAAGTGGCACTGCTCATCAGCTCCCTCCCACCCTACCTCCCCTGGGATCCTCTGTCTCTCCATCCTATGATCCCTGACAGCTGGGCTCCTGGCTCAGCTCCTCTTACATGGCCCCAGCTACCTTCCCAGCGCCACACCCAGGGTCTTTAGCCACAAGCCCTGCTGCCTCCCTGGCCTGACCGTGAGATGGCCAGAACGGGGCCCTGCCCATCTTCTCCCCCATTCCCCTAGGGCCACAGCCCCCACTATCTCCATGCCTTTCCCCCTTCCCCATGGGGACAGTTAGGGCTGTAGCTCTAGGGAAATGGGGGATGATAGGGGCAAGCGGGCCCTCAGAGACCTGCTGGACAACAGCCCTGATGCTAGGCCAGGCGTCCCTTCAGCCCGCGGCCACAACCCTTGGATCTCACTGGGATTGTCTCCAAGTGGACATGGTCAGACCCTCAGGTTGCCCCGTTCCTCTAGTGCTAACTTGTGGACAGAACTTCTGAGAGCCCAGGGACCTGACCTAGCCCAGTCTCCATTCCCACCCGCTCCCTAGATGGGCCCCGCACCTCTGGCCTAACAGCAACCTCGGGCTGGACCTGCAGGGGAACCAGGGAGGAGTTCTGACCCTGGGAAGGAGGTTGGCCTGACCTGGTGAGAGAGTCTTGCCTCAGAAAGGCCTTTCTGAAAGCAAACCCATCCCTGAGCTGAGACAGGTACTTCAGGGGTGAGGGGAGCACAGAGGACTCACTGCAGAATCCCAAAGTGATCAATGTTGTTGTAGATTCCAACAGGCTCAGGCCCCATGTCCTCTGGCAGCCCGGCTAGGTGTCCCTGTAACTCAGAGGCAGCCTTGGTGAGGGGTCCAAGGTAAAGGGTGCAAGAGCCTGGGGGTAGTGGCCACCCGTGCCCACCCTGTGTGCCTAGGGGGCCCAGGACCAGTTGATCAGGGTGCACTGGAAAAGGCCTCCCTCCAAGGAGCAGACCGACCTGTACCTTCTCATAGTTCATAATGATGTCCTCTCGCTCCTGTGCCCGCAAACTATCTGTATCCTCTATGATTTCTATCCTGTGGGATAAAATCATCTAAAAGTTACATTGTACCTGAGAGCTTCGGGGAAAACCTGAACCGCTCCCACCAGGCTCCCAGATGCTGGCTGGCTGTGTAACCCCCATTCCACCACCGCCCCCAGGTAAAAAGGGGACCAGACCCAGTGGCCCACACCTGCACGAGTCTCTGGAGTCTCAAGCCCCAAGCAGGGGTGGGCATCATCCCAAGGACTTGAGGACAGTGGGACCTGGACAGAAAATCCCGTCGTCCCCAAATGCCATGAAATGGGGACACACCTGCCCCAGCAGGTTGAATAGTGTCCACCTGCCAAGGGTGAAGGGCCCATGATGGGCTATTCCAGGGATGTGGAGGGAGACTGGGGTCAGTGACCAGAGGTCTCTGTACAATCGGCCTCCTGGGATGCTCAGGGACCACAGAGATGTCCAGTTTCCTACAGGGATCAAGATCTCTCCTGACTGCTCTGTTCTTCTCCGCTCATCACTTTGGCTCCCGTGGCCCTTCAGTCTGAACAGTGAAGCCACTTTAGGAATAATGCCAGTTGAGCAGGAGGGTGTTCGGTTTGGAGGATGAAAATGATCGGTTGTGCTAGTGGAAACCTTCACTCGGGGAGGGACTGGACTCCACCATTCTGAGCTGTCCCTACAGGAGGGGGCTTCATTTTCCCATGTCACTGAGGAAGGACAGTGGGTCCTTGGTCCTGGAGAACACCTGGATGGACCGTCCCTCCTGGGAACACTTGGGGCAAAAGGAGGGCGAGGCCTCGAGAGGACCAGACAGAGCAAGAAATACATGGAGAGAACTCCAGGGCCTGGACCCCTTTATAGAAGGGAAGATGGTCTCCCCCCAGCCAGCCCTCCAGGGGTCCTTCATTTTCCACAACTGCCCAAGGGCAGAAGGCTCCCCCGGACAAGGGACCATGTGTGTTCAGGGGGCCCACAGCCACCATCAGGACCCAGCTTAGGGCACAGAGGTGTTCTGAGGACCCTCCTATCCATCCCATCCACAGTGGATCCATCCCAGTGGCTCTGCCAGGACCACGCTCTGCCCCATCGGGATTGGAAACCTGGGCAGATTTGGGATCTAGAGCAGGGAGGTCACAGGGTTCAGGCCTGAATTCCAGCACAGTGCACGGCAGGGCTGAGAGCAAAACCCAGGTTCATGTCTGAATTCCCAGGCCGGTTACCGCCTCTCTGACCCCAGACGTCTCACCTGTCGAATGGGTACACTAGGGAATGGCACTCACTCTATGAAGCCACCATGAGGACGAAAGAGCCAATCGTCTACACGGGCAGTGTAGAACGGGTGCCCCGTGAGTACTTAGGGATGACCCTCTTCGGTAGCTGCCCAGAGGCCAACACCACCCACAGCATAGCCACTGTCCCCAAGTCAGCCTGGAGGGAAGACAGCAGGTCACACTCACCTGATTCTGATGAATCAGCTGGCCTGCGTTATGCCTCTCAGGTAGAAAACCTTTGAGTCCACAAAAGTATTCCCAGATACCACTGTGCATGTGTAGCTGATACCACTGTGCGTGTGTAGCTGATACCACTGTGCGTGTGTGGCTGCTGTAGAACACAGAGGCAGGCGGGAGAGCGGATTGGTGCTAAGCACCAGTGACATTCTGAGGTCATGGCACGCATCACAGTGGGGCCCTGCCCGGGTCAGCAGGGCCCAGAGACAGGGTCCTCCGCTGCCTGAGGCGTCAACACACCTGCCTGCAATGTGTTTGTGCACATGCGTGCACACGTGTACATGGGTAAACACATCTGTGCACATGTGTGTGGCTTCTCTGGCCATGCCTGGCTGCCCCACTCATGTGTGCACCCAGTTCCTCATCACTATCACCCCCGAGGCCCAGGACCAGCATCAGAGCATCCATGGGTGTTCCCTGACCTCAACCCTCCCCGCCCAAGGTGATCTGGGACACACATAGGGGTGGAGGGAAGTGACTGCTGCTGTTGAATTTCAGAATACAAATGCTAATACTACTACCTAATGGTCTTTTTAGTGTCTCTAATGGTATCTCTTTTTTCATTTCTGATATTTTAACTGGGTATTTCTCTCCATGACCCTTGGATGTTCTAGCTAGAGGATCCCGTGGGGAAAGTGCCGGGCACACAGTAGGGCCTCACTCTATTCTAGACATGTTATCTAAAATCTGGTTCATCTCTCCTTCCTGCCAGGGCCTAGGGGATGCCAAATTCCAGGGTCCAGAAAGAGCTTGGGATAAAATGAAACTTCAAGGGTTGGGCTTTGACCTGGGCTGAGTCTGCCTGTGCCATACAGTTTCAAGTCCTGAGGCAGGATGTCCAGATGCCCCAATGCAGGGCCCTCCTGATCGACACCTGCTCCCCTGTACTCTTTAGCAACCTCACCCACCCTACTCTCAAAGCACACTTGGCCCTCATATCCGGGAGCTCCGCATCTGTGGATTCAGCAACAGCAGATGGAAAATATTCAGAAAATAAATTGCATGGTTATGTCTCTACTGAACATGTGCAGACTTTGTTCTTGTCATCATTCCCTAAAGAATACAGTATCCCAACCATTTATGTAGCATCCGCATTGTATTACGTATCATAAATAACCTAGTAATGGTCTAATGTCTACGGGAGGATATGCATAGCTTATATGTAAATACTAGGACATGTTACATCAGAGAGTGGCTACTTTTGGGGATTCTTAATGTCTTGAAGTTACTATGTGGAGGCCAAAGCAACTTCATGTTGGATGCTAACCTGCCATGTTGACTTCACATTAACCTCTGCTCTGGGAAGGCCATTAAGATTTCCAGTTTGTCTAGTACTCCTTGTGTAAGAGCACATACTTACTGTAAATGCTCCCCTTAGGTCAAAACAGCTTTGCTGTTATCATAGTTTAATTGTCTTACACATCGCTTCTGAATCATGTATACCCTTTCCCTGTCATATATCAGCCCTGGGTCTGCAGGGTAATGGTGCAGGCATCCACTCTCTCATCTCTCCACCCCCAGACACTGACATGGCTTCTGTTTGTAAGTCCCTATTAAATATCACTTTATTTTTTTGTTGTTTTGTTTGTTTTGTTTTGTTGAGACGGAGTTTTTTTCTTGTTTCCCAAGCTGGAGTGCAATGGCGTGATCTTGGCTCACTGCAACCTCCGCTTCCTGGGTTCAAGCAATTCTCCTGCTTCAGCCTCTCGAGTAGCTGGGACCATAGGCATATGCCATTATGCCTGGCTAATTTTTTGTATTTTTAGTAGAGACGGGGTTTCTCCATGTTGGTCAGGCTGATCTCGAACTCCCAACCTCAGGTGATCTGTCTGCCTCAGTCTCCTAAAGTGTTGGGATTACAGGTGTGAGCCACCGCGCCTAGCCACTTTCTAAGAGACAGGATTTGTCAGTGGCTTTCTTCTGCCTCTCAGCTTCATTGTACTTTGGGGGTAGGCTTGCATAGATTTGCCTGCCATGGAACAACTATGAGTATTTTACGAAAGAATGGTGGTGTTATAGTTGTGGAATACCATAGTCACATTACATTCAGGGAGTGCCAGCCCCTGCTGTGTTTCAGATGTAATTTCATTCCTTCCTATAGGCTGGTGAGGCCAGAAGACTTAGGGGTTACATCACTGTGTATTTTGTTGGTGTAGGAGAAGGTGATATTTGTGAGTCTTTGGGTTTCAGCATGAAACTGAGAAAGGGAAGCTCAGTGAAGAGGAGAACAATGGTAGAGTGAACACATTATTTTTTGGAGTTGGACGAGCCTGAAACAAGTAAAGATTTCTGGGCCACCAGTGACTGTCCATGGCACAGATCCAAGCATACCAGTCAGAAAACAGCCACTTCCCAGGGAGCATCATGTAGCTTTTAGACTCCAAGGACACCACAAGCCACTGTCAGGTGAGAGGTGCAATTCACACAACCCAGCATAGAGGCCCCCTCTTATTTCTCAAAGTTCTGGGAGAACCCAAGACCCATAGCCTTTATTTTAGGGACTTTTTAATCGGCTTGGCAGAGAAAGAGACTATGTAATTGACCCAGGTCTTTTGAGCTCTTAGCATTAACCGAGATCCTGTAACACAGGCAGATTTAGCCCTTTTGTTTCTATTTCTATATTTAATATAAATGTATATTAAATTTTTGCAAACATTTAGCTTTTGGCTAAAGTCAGCTTTTGGCCACAGCTGTTGATCAGCAGGGAAACAGAAGGAGAAGAGGGATTTTCACACTTAGCAAGCAGCTCATGTGTGCCAGTTGCACAAAAGCAGGGTTATAGTGAGATATCCAATTCCCATTAGGGAAACAAGGGAGCTGGAACTCAGAGAACATAAGTGATTTGCTCACAGTCAAGGCTGGTGAGTGGCGGTGCTGTGATTGGAGCCAGGCTCACTTGGCCCTAAGGTTCATATTGAGCAGAAACCTTCTCTATGATTCCCCAGTAGACACACATAGCCATGCCGTTTCAGGTCCACTCTCAGGTTGCTTCTGCTGGGGCCTTATGTACCTCAGGGCAGAAATTCATAATCATTTGAGGACCCACGTGGTGTTGCAGTCCAGCATGACCATTTCAAACTCTAACCACTCCTGCATCTGCAAAATGGCATTTTTCCTGCTGGGTGTCTAGGGTAGGGTAGCATCCTACCCTGTATGGTTCCTAGCTGGGGCCCCTGTCACCAGGGAAATGGTGCTGGTTCTCACCCAGAAATAAAGAGGAAGTGTCTCTGCTGAATAAGAACAGGTATGCATCGCTTGATGTTTGTGACACTATCCCAGGTTGCATTGGCAGCAGCCAACACCAGGGTTTTCCAGAGGCTAAAGTCCAACACATGGTTAATGTCATTGCCTTTCCCTTCCTTCCTCGGGATAAGAGGAATAAATGTCTCTTACTTAGAACTGTTCCGCACAGACTTAGAGTGGCAGAGGACTAACTTAACCTGTCAAAGGCTATTTTGAGCAAAAGCCACCTTGTGTCACTGAAGCTGTAGAACTGAGCCACAGGAGGAAACTGTTAAAGTCGCAGGGTCAAAGACTAGGTACCTCCTATGTTATCCCGACAGCACAGAAGCACACTTTGAGTCTCTTCTGAGACAAGCGTGTGCTGGAGAGGCCTGAGAGAAGGAGCGGCCCTTGTGACCAGTGCTTTTTCAGTTCACAAGGAACGTCTCCTCTTGTTTACTTGACTTGGCTGAGCTTGCTACTTCTCCTTTGAGAGCCAAATATCAGGATAAAGACTTTAATTATCCCCAATTTACAGATGATGAAGCCATACTGGGCAGGAAAGGAAGTCACCCCAGGAGAGCAAGTTGGGCCTGGGCACTGGCTGAGGACACAGGGGAATGACAATTTTGGATGTAGCTGGTTAAGGGGCCTCACAGGTGTTCTTGTGATCCAGGTGTCAAGAGGATAGAGCAGAAATTTTGCCAGGGAGACGCGGGTACGGTGCATTGTGAGGGTGAGAGAAATTAAAGAGAACACGCAACAAAGCCTTGGGACACTGGGAGGGGGATGGATCACCCTGTTTTGTGCTGCGGGAGAAGAGAGTAAGAGAAGGAATCTGTGTGAAATCCTGGCAGCCTGCAGGAGAAGCAAATGCCCTTCATTTTGTTCATCCGCAGTGAGACTGGCATCCCTGTAGCTTTGGGAAACCAGGCTAGTGTGGATGCCAGCTCACTCCAGTGGCCTGATGACTGGGAGACCATGGGCTGGGGCTCTGGTCTGGGCTCCTAGGCCTGATGGGAGGAGAGTTCAGCCCCAGGTTTCCTGTACTTCAGCTCGTATCCAGACGATGGGAATTGTTGGAATGAGAGACTCAAAGGAAGCTGGAACCTGAACTTTGTTGTTGTCCCATGTGGACTCCTGTGTTCACTTTCTAGTTCTACGTCTTGCTGTCTGTGTGCTCTTAGGTAACTCACTTAAAACTTCCTGAGTCTCATTTGCTTCATTTATAAAATAAAAGACATAACATTTATGTCAGATATTGTCCTAAGGATGAAATGGGAGAATGAGGAGCCTCTTCTGCATTCCCCTGGCATCCAGTGGGTGGAGGCCAGAGAAGCTGCTAAACATCATGCCAGGCGGAGGACAGCCCCATCACAAAGAATTATCTGGTCCCTGATGTCAGTAATGCTGTGTTGAGGAACCCTGGTGTGGGGGAAGGAGAAGAAACTCAGAAACTTGGGAGATCTCAATTCAAACCCTGGTTGTACCACCTGTACCTGAGTGACCTTAGATTGGTCTGTGAACTCTCTGAGACTTGGCCTCCTCATCAGTAAAATGAGGGAGATAAAAATGCCAAGCTCACTTAGAAATAACATGCATATGTGGTCAACTGAACTTTGAGAAGGTCATCAAGGATACACAATGTAGATTCTTTTATTCTTTTACTTTCTTAATAGACTTGCTTTCACTTTAATCTAAGAAAAAAATACACTGTGTAGAAAGGAAACTCTCTTCAATGAGTGTTGCTGGGGAAAGTACCTGCAAAAGATTGAAGTTGCATACTTGGTTTACATCATACACAGAAAATTAACTCAAAATGGATTAAAGATTTAAATGTAATATCTGAAACCATGTAACTCCTAGAAG